CAACTCGTAAAAACTAATTTATTTTCAAGTGTTGGATAGCAGGGATTTGATTGGTTACAAGATCTCATCATGAAATAACATCAGTTAGAGAACCATTGAAAAACCTGAGAGTACTAGACAACTGTTTCGTCCTGATTTGGGACTGTTTATCAGTTTACACCCACCGAGGTTGAAATTCATGGGCCATTGGATCAGTTCCCCGTAGCTTAATGGTCTGAAAGTTCACCTTGTAGCCAGAATGCCATGAGTGAATGGGTATGTGCTGATGAATAGTCCAAGACCAGAAGGAAACGACTGTCCAGTAATCCCAAGTTTTCCAACGGTCCTCTAACCGATGTCATCTCATGATGAAATCCTGTAACATATTCGTTCCTTAATTACCCTTCTTATTTTTCCATAATTATGCATTTTTTTGAATGCACTTGTTTAGATTTTGCAAGTATTTTTTCTCTTTAGTCGTTACATTTCTTTTTTTTGATTAATTTCATACATAGATAAATTGACTGTGTTTATGTGTCACGCCATATGCTTGTAATTTAACAAATATGGTGTGATGTATATTCACTACTCACATATCGGGAGTGCATAGAATATATATATATATATATATATATATATATATATTTATATATACTTTCATTGTTTCCAGTAGATATTTGTTTATCTGTACAGTACGTTAGGTGAACAGAGCGTTAATCATATTGTGGCGTGTGCTACTGATAAGATTTATCAGTAGTATATAAAGAGACTTGCATCTGCATAAAACATCAAATAGCAGGGAGATAGATCTGATGACAGAGAAAGCAAATGATAAGCGTTGTAGAGATACACGGGAGACATGAAGGAACACAATATGAAGGTTAGGAGTGGCACAACACGGAAGATCAGTGCAAATGCTGCGCTGAAAATAAGGTGTACATAATTTGGCTATATAGAGATACCGAATTCCAAATACATATTCCTTGATCAGGTCTTTCATCTCCTACCGTTTTAATATGATTAGTGGCAAAGCTTTTTTTAATGCTATGAATAAAAGGAGGTTGGCGATTGTGTTTGGATAAAAAACAATTCAAATCTTTCACACTTTTCTTCATGATCACAAATGTTAAGATCTCATCAGCTATTAGGTTAGTTATTTCAAGATTATCCAATGATTTTACAATGTGTACAGAGACTGAAATGTTTTGCAGACGAATCGAAGAAGTGGTTGTTTTGAATTTCATACAGTAGTTGAACATGCTGTTTTTCAAAGGAGGTCTAGTTTGGTACCTAAATACATCTGAGATATTGTGCCTTTTGTCTCTCTGGCAATTTTTTCTTCAATCGCTTCAGCCTTAGACTATAATCTAAGGAACACTAGTTTCTTCTGGAAAATATTGCAATTCACCTTTCGCCTACTCTGAACTGCTGAAACTATTTTTATCTGAAGAACGAAAATCGAATTATGTATGTTCAGAAAAAGACGGTTACTAATTCACTATTACCTTGATAAGCCTTAATTTCTTTGTTTTGACTCACTGAAATTTTATTTCATTTTTTATGACGTAACTTGGTATCTGAGTCCACCTATTTTCCTACTAAGTTTTCTGGCTACCGTTATTAGCACTGACTATTTTCAGTTTGTTTTAATAGTCCAATACATGGCTACGCAACCTTCCCCACTCGTCCAAATTAGCTTTAAATTCCAGAATATTCCACTCTTTGCGGTGTATAATATCTCTGTTCTGATTGTTCTAAATTATTCTGTTTAATCTACATCTCATCTTTTGTTACATTTTGTTCCACTCATAAAATGAACTGGTTGTTCAGTCAAAAAATATACAGAAGTTATTTCATATCTATTATTTATGCTAACGAAAATACTATGAAATGAAATGAATTTATCTTATCCCAAAAATGCTGTTCTTATTTGGTTATTCAAAGGTAAATAATTTATGTAAAGCAGTGCACCGGTGGCACAGCGGTAGAATGCTGGACAACCAAGCAGGTGGTTTGGGGTTCGATCCTTGGCTGACTCACTCCTTTACCTGGCTAAACCAGTAATATGACTGCTAAAGAGGGGAGTTTGGGTATGAAGCTAGCAACTCCATCCCGTAAAAATAAACACCACTGCTAGTGAAACTTCAGAGCTCCAGTTCGAAGCCCTATGTTTCACTTGGGAACGTACAGGATTTAGAAAAATAAAATAAGTGAGTCGGATATAGGAACAAGTAGTTGGTGACCAAAACATGAGACTACTCACTTTAAGTGCTACAGTGTGACTGAAACATTCGTCGAAATACTTCTACTGTTGTGGCGAGTGATGACTGAGGGTGGGACTAAATTCTGAGTGGCAGCAGGATTGGAGATACCAGCATCCGATGGGCTAATCCAGCGCCAATCCTATTGTGGCACTTTACGCTCATTTATTCTATTAAAATATTTTCAAATAGTATGCTTTTAAAAGTTCGCAATATTATTGAGTGGAATCAGTCACAGTGCTGAGATACTCAGTTGATTAATAATTCTTTGATATATATATATATATATATATATATATATATATATATATATATACATCTGTTCCTGTGCTTTCAAGTTTGAAGATCAGTGAAGTTGTTTTTGCGGAGTTAACTTAATAACCTCACTTCTAACTTTCCGTCTTTTCCAGGTTCAGGATTGGATAGTAAGCTAGGCAAGGAAGTCTTTTCTTTCACTAAACTGGACAGCATTCTCTCAATTACAGGCGATATGGCATAAGGATGCCAATGTCGGAAAAGCAAGATAATGTGGATATCTACAGTACTTATCACAAGGAACAGGATTCAAATTTTCTACAATAATATCGAGCCAGTGCTTCTATATCTTTCAGACACTCGGCGCATCACTAAAGCCATTTTCAACAGCCTACTGCAAAACTTCGTCAACAGCTGCCTTTGCATCATACCGAAGATTGGATGGTCGGAAAGGATAAGCATCAAGGGGCTCTGGAAGTGAGCCACCTAATAATCGGTGGCTTAACAAATATGCTGAAAGAAAGAGAGATGGGTTGAACATACGCTGAAGAGACTTTCAAGTGACATCATGCACCAAGCCTTTGAATGGAATCCGAATGGGAAGCTACAGGTTGAGCATCTGAGAGTCTTATGAAGGAGATGTTAAGAAGAAATAATTACAAACTAGGTCGAAACAGCTGTTAAGTGATACTTAGTTTTCGATGGCTGTTCATGGCGAAAACTACATTGAAATTAATCCAAATATTAACGTTATTTGGTTAACAGTCGTTAGTAGTGATATCCAATAGTCATTTTTGTCCTTTTTGTTGCTTGTCAGTTAGTTGCACGTTCATTCGCATTGAGTAAATGTGTTCCCACTGAGCCTCGAACCCATTATTTATAGTTTCAAACACCAAAGTGTTATCAACAAGGCCACTGGGCCATGAAGTTATAACACCACATTAACCTTAACACATTGTTGACAGTATGTGTACTAGGAGCCGACATGTCACCAGAGACTAAATATTTAGGTCTAACAAAAGTCAGTGGGGGAGAAAAGTGAAAATAGTAACTTTGACTAGTGTCAAGTGATCTGAAATAATGACCTAATTTATTCTCAAAGAGAAGAAAACATATCGATATAACTATTCTGTATGGATAGAGTAATAAGACCTTCATAGAAGTAGTGAAATTCTTGTGTGAAAAAGTGGAAAATATTTCAAAGGACAGAAATAAATATAAGAAGAGGTAATCACAATAACTGTTGGACAGAAAATAAAGGGGTGAACCATTGTGACATACATTCCAAAAAAGCTGTCAATTAGTATGATAGCACACAGAGAAAAATGATGAGTCCCAAATAGGACGAAATGCGCATCCTGGATTCCACTGCTAGTCACCATCCACCAATTAGTTTTATTTGTTTTTCTAAAACATTTTAAGTAGTAAGGTAAAACGTTCACAGGTTATCATGGCGGTAATCATCAAGTAAATGTCCGCTTTCAGAGATGTAATCCAAGTCTTAAACCTCAAAATTCTTTGGCAATTTTCCCGTTTACCAATGAACAGGATTCTGATTCGCAAGGCTGCTGTCTCTTGTAAAGTAAAAGGCAAGATATGCAATGGAAAAATAAGACATAGCTTTAAGAGCAATTATTCAACAGCCCATGAAGACAATCATTTCACCGTTCTTCTTATGCACTTATTTTCGCGCTCAATTAAGTTGGGAATCTCATTTGAATTCGGTAACACTTGGAAATCATCCGAATTTTCACTGTATATGATTCAGCATGCCGCTTAATATAACAATATAAAAATGCCCTCTTTTCTGCGATGAATGTTCTTCTCTTTCTCCCTAAATTTACAAACCTTTTATATAGATTTACTTGGATATCTATGGCTATATAGACAGTCATGAATTGTCCTAATTTCTAATTAGATCATTAAATGGCATTAGACAGAGAAGCACTAAAAATCAGAAAGTGTGTGCAGTTGCTTCGTCTTAATCTAGGACACTTCGGAAGTACTCACCCATGATTAAAACTGAAATGTAACTTGAAGTCAAACGAATCACAGAAAACCAATATTTGAAAATTAGTTTGATGCTCATAAAGGACTGACTACAGAATGAATTCACCTTGAGCTCTAGCGGAAAGTTCTGACTATTTAGGTATACTAAGTTACCGATGATAAAGGATGGCAGCGAAGCTATGTGAAGTGAATGGATGGAAGTTAGGATTTACCAGTCACTGAACTCCAACGCAGTGGCTAAACGGTCAGTGTGCTAGCCTAAGGACCTGAAAGTCCTTAGCTGCATCCCTGTTGGGTGGAGAGTCATAGGCGTCCACGGTCGGTGTGAAACGAAAGTGATTTTCAGCGATTCTCTAGTGAAAAGTAAACAAGGTTTTTTATTATAGGAAATGACATTTAAGAAAACTTTGAAAGCATAGAGAAATCAAATAATCAGTTACAAATAAATCATACACATTGTACCGATAAATTTTTGGGTCAGAATAAATTTATTTTTCAACTAGGCCATGTTTTATAATTCATTTGAATGATATCTTCACAATACGCAGGATAAAATACTGAACAGAAATCAATGATTATTATATTTACACCATTTATATTGGCCAGGTGATCTGGTGAATTGATCCATTTTTTAACATATGGTGTAACGCATTTAGCAGTTTTCCGTACAGAGCCAAATGGATGCAGTAATATAAAGAATGAATTGGCTGTTAAGACTGACTGGTAAACATGGAATTTCAATGGATCTTTATGATAAGATGGTCTAAAACAGAGAAAAAAAACAAAATACAGTGTATGCGTTATAGTAACCTAATTTCTAGTAAATAAATAAATAAGCGATGAGTATTTCAAGAGTTTCACGATTACTCTTCAGTATAGTTCGAGTAAATGCTTTTTTTACAATACCTAGCGCAGTTATGGCATTTTTGTAGGGATTTGACTGATTTCCTGATCTAACATCAGTAGTGCTGGTAGAATTTATAACCCTCAGATTATGAGGGGAGCAGGACGCATATTCAACCACCGGGTTGGAATGCAGTGACCCATGAATTCTAGCTTTCCGTGATACACATCACGGCCACCAGCCAGTGTCAATGGTGAGTATCCGTCTTCACACCTAAGTCGATGTACCACGCTGGTCGTAAATCCGCGCCTAATAACCTGAAGGTCCTGTGTCCGAACTCCGATGAGTGCATGGGTGTTTGCTGCTGGGTAGTCCCAAGTCAGGACGAAACAGCTGTCCAATGCTTCTTAGTTTTCATTAGTTCCCTAAATGATATTACTTGGTGATCTAAGTGATTAAAAAATAACTTGAATAACTGTCAAATAATCAGCTCTTATTATGTAGATTACTGATGAAATAAGCTTACTATCCACAGAAACAATAAAATGTGAAATATACTAGTTTCAGACGTTGGTCGTATGGTCAGGAGATTTCACTGTCTTTTTAAACTGCAGATTGTATATCATACAGAATTAAAACGATGTTATTTGTTACCACCATGGTAATTTGACAAATTAGATGAGATAATTTGAAGACCATTGAACACTTGAGAGTATATTTTTAATATGTATCCATATATATATATATATATATATATATATATATATATATATATATATATATATATATATATATATATATATATATATATATGGTGGTCTCTCTTTCTGTTGCTCTCTTAGTCTGTGACCATTTCACTTTGATGAACCTGTCTCCTTTAACAATGTATATTCCCCTTATAGTATATATAATATGTGTGTTTGTTGACAGTCTGCCCTTGGTGATATATATCCATATAATATGTGTGTTTGTTGACATGTCTGCAATATTTTGCTATGTATATATGGATCGATACTCCATTATAATTAGTCAATCATGTTAAGACTGTCTATTGATTGTTCACACACTTGTTTGGACATTCATATATATTTTTCTCTCACACTATTGTGTGATATATTTGACTCTCCTTGTGTTTGGAAAATAGAAGTATCATCGCAAACCTAGTGGTCTTCTGATTTCTACGCTTTCTTGCGTCAGGACTATTAAATTCTCGACCAGTACATAACAATAATTTGGTGACGAGTACATATCAATTTTCCCCCAAAACCCGTATCATTCTCATGCGGACTATTAAATCATCTGAAGTGATCGACTGTTCATTTTCAGATATTAGGAGTTTCGATTTTAGTGCCTGAAGATACATTTAGTCAAGTTGAAAAGAATTCATTATATTGTATTAGTCTGCATTTCTAAATTATGTAAATTTTATCAAATCAGGAACAAAATTATCAATGCTAATTTAAGACTTGTGTTTAAACGAATATTTAAGGTCGAAATTTTGGTGGATTCATTACAACCAATTTAACGTTCAATAAAATTAATTCAATATTTATTCATGTTTGTGATTTTCCTTTGATGTATCCGATGGAAATGACCAGCTTCATTTTGTTACATGTGCTGCATTAAAGGATGCCTCAGTATTACCAGGATTAAAAACTCAAATTTACTTGTCGTTTGCTGGCCAGTAGAAGAATCTAGACGTCACGTCTCGTCCTATTTAAGACTCGTCGGGTTGAAGTTCCTGCTTTACAGTGAAAGATGTTTTTCCCACTGAGACTTGAACCAACTGCCTAGTGGCCCAGTGGATAACGCTGTGGAGTTTTAGCAGGTTCATCCATATGACGAATCTCAAATGGAGGGAAATGTGTCTTCTGAATTCAGCTCCTAGCCTACTTAGATAACCAACTTCGAAATCTTAATCCTGAATCCGAATGTCTTAGTACATTGAGAAAGAATCTGGAATTTTAAAGGTATATTCGTCTCGTTAACTCGAATCCGTCTCACATTTCGTATCGCAAAAATAAAGGGTCTTAACAAATACTGGTTTATTCTAGCAAGGTTTGAGCTCCATTAGATTCGAAAGCTATTTTAGGGGAATAGGCAACTTACATTTTATTAGTCACTTGATGAATGAAATAAAATTGTTGGACATCATTATATTCGCTAGATCATAATGAAGTTCAACATTTTCATCTCGTCTTTACATTTTGCCCTGACAACGCTGGTTATTATTAAAAGCCTCAGAATCCGTAGCTCAGTCATAACTAGCCAGTTGACTAAACATACTTTTCTCTGAAAACAACGTTAATCTTTCATCTTTCTAGCATATTACTCTTGAGAGAAAGTTTCCGTATGATTTAGCCCTCTGATTTTCGCGTTTTGCCATCTGTAGTTATAGGTTAGGTAAACAACTGATCAAGTTGTTAATGGCACGCACGAGTTTCGGTAAGACTGGTCAAGTGTTAGGAAACAGTACACACACACAAACCCAAAACAACAACCCAATTGCTTCACTAATACCGTTAACAAGTCAAACTGATAATGTCATCTGTATGATCTTATACTTACGTAAGTTTTCATCGTCAACTATTAAAGAGAATAAGCATTAGTAAGGGGTGACTAAGATGTATAGTTCAAGTGAATGACTTTGGTATTATTACATTCTACGGATAAAATCAAAGACATTCAACCAGATCATAAGGAAATCACGGTATCGTTTGATTTCATAGCATTGCATTCTTCAAGCCTATAAAAGCTGGTAAAAGAAGCTATACAATAACTGATCAATAATAGTTAATATCTCTCCCAAATCTCAATGTGGATATCGTGTGTGCTACTGACAAGATTCTGTAAGCAGTTTATTATGTGTGATGTCTTTTCTGTAAGAATCTTGAGTGGTGTAGTAACAGACTAAGATACGAATAGTAGGAATGAAAGATTCTTGCAGGACAGTATAGAAAGCATAAAATAAAGACAAAAATGCGGAATACGAATAACAGTTGCAAACTGAAGTTTCAGTGTAAATTTTTTATATTCTGTCATCAGTGTACACCATTTTGCTGAAAAAACTACCTAAAGCTACCAAGTACTACTAAGTTATGCAATTGCAATACTGTAATTCTAGTTTAGTGGTCAAATTTATGAACAGAGAAAAAGGCTACCTAAGATACCACCTATTTTATAATTGGTCATTGAAGCTGTTATGAAAGGCCATGGACCATAATTTTAGGTTATAGTAATGCAATCATTCGTTGCAATTAGAAGAAAAGTGGTTTTCGGACACTCATATTGTAGTCAACAACTTTGTCTACAGTATCATATTTACTTATGATGAGGAGCTTGACAACGAAATATGGATGTCTTGGTCATGGCAACAAGTTTAAAAACGTTGTAGAAACAAGTACAAAGTAAGTCAATCTTTATAAAGCTAATGAAAATTACAACAACTACAATAGCTTAACAACATACAGAAGGGAATCTGTTGACGTGTATTGTTGAAGCAATCAAAGCACACTGCATATTACTCGTATCTTACACAAAACATAAGAGAAACGTTTTCTGGTAGTCTCCCGAGAAATTGGGAATTTATGCTGGTTAGTCAAAACGTGCTTTTCTTCAAATCAACCTACAAATACAAAATCACCTTCGGAAACCATGAAGTAAACCATCCTACTGCATATGGAGAATATTCCCGGAATTAGTGATAGACACTGCAATACTTCGGAATAGACGTTATTCACAGACCAAGAAAGTCACTTAATTTCATCCTATTTCGAGCAAAACGTAACCGCAAAATGAAACTAAACCGATATCATTTATAAAACAAATTTTAACCACTGTGAAAAATGTTGGTAAAAATGTACAGATCTCAAACACAGGAAACATAAAGAATGCTAAGGAATTGTTACAAGCTTTGTACTCAAATGAACCTGAGATTAATGGACAAAGTAATATAGATCAGATTTATCTCGCAATCAGGAATAAATCACTTGAACAAAAAGTCGAATATCAGGTCAACTAAATGATCAATACCAATATAACCGAATACAGTGATAGGATAAAGTGGAGAAAACCAATCACGTTTAAAGGTCATTAAGAGAGATGATTATAGCATCAATGAAGGATTCAAAAACCTCATTTCTTCTTAAAATTAGCTCTAATGATGTCCAGAAAAATGAAGAAAGCTTAGTAGGTAAACCATTCAGCTGAAAGAAGGCAACAACAAAAACTGAATGCAGGTTTACGGTGTACTAGATAAGTAAATACTTCAAATTATACTAAACACCAATAAAATACAACCATAAATTTTCTGTTCAAACTCACACTCAACCTACATGCACAAAACGGTTAACATTTTAAATATAAACTACTGTAGAACAAGATGAAGCAAGTCAATAAACAAAAAATATTAACTGAATTAATATTATTAAACAAACCCCAAATGATCATTAAGAAATGAAATCATTTTCTTTGGATTTGATGTTTCTGCCCAAAATGATTTCATTTTATCAATTGACCAAAAGTTCAAATGCATTTTCTCAAGTTTAGGATTATGACAACTAAAACATAATATTCGATAGTCTGTACCCCAGATATCATCCAATGAGGGAATTTCTTGATTTCTGGGTAACATTATAGGTCCAATAATCTGTTAAAAGTAAGTGAATTAATAGGGGGAAACAAATACAAAATAATTAGAGAGGGATTCACACCATTCATCTGTACATTCTCATTAATGTAATTGTAGAAATTCGGCACTTTGATGGATGGAATTACATTCTACCACAGTGCCGAAGTTGTGCACCTACATTACTGATACTTATTGTTTTCCTTTTCAGAGTTTAGTCAATCAACTTACACGGCTATCAAAAACAGCAACAAGGTATGTATCCTGATATTTGTGAGATATAAGAATACCTCAAATAGGCTCTAGTTTAAGTTTAATTTAATTTAATAAAGTTTAAGTTTAGTTTTAAGTTATCTAAGTTAGCTTCTGTGATGCCAGATACACTGAGCGTACAACTTGACGTATTCACCATTTAATTTCTCAGCATCTTGCTGCATGGTTAAGCAACAGACAAACGAGGTATATTTATCTCTTTGTTCTAACACACCTTTTGGATACTGAGGACAAAGCTGATGTTAATAAAGCCTTTAAAGTTATTCACCATATTCCAAAGGCTAATCTTAATTTTGTCTTACGAGTTAGACTTTTCATATTAGGAATCCACCTGAAGAAGACAAACTTGTGTTTTCGGAAGAAATTCATACAGGCGCATTCTTTACCTTGGTCATCATTATTGGATTATAATAATTTGAAAGCCTCCCCTTCCCTGTAAGCCAATATTACTTTAACTATCATTAAAAGACTCATGAATTTCCCTCATAATTTTATACGATATTCAAACTAATATTATATATTTATGGATGTCATCACTAACAGGTGCTTTTGAAAGGTAATTCTTTTGGTTGTAACAACTGGATGTCAATGACGACCATTCTTTAAATATATATATATATATATATATATATAGGGCCAAATGGAGAAGTTATCGGGGAGAATATCGTATATACTTAATCTTTTTTCCTCTCTTTTTGATTTCTTAATGAAGTCTGACCAACAAGTTTGAGGAGGAAAATTTACATTGTAGCACCAATAAACATCACCACTTGCTAAAAATGCAAAATCTCCTCTCCTACCAACTAAGTGGGTCTCTTAACTTAGTCGGTAGGACGCATAAATATCTGCTGGTTCGGATCTTATAGTAGCTTGGATGCTTGTTCCAGTTACAACCATCTCATTATTTTTAAAACATACACTTTTTTCTTAATTGTTAGCTGAACTAACTTTTCTCTACAGATATCTTTTTTGTAAAACGTGTAAATATCCCAGTAAGGTTTCATTAAGGTGATTTCATATACTTCTACAGAAAGTCGAACATGACTTAGTTTCATTAAAGTTTCCCATTTAATTATAATCACATTTTATGGGCGATTTTCCCCGAAATTGTCATCGCTATAAATATGGTGAACTCAATTTCATGACAGACCGATTTCTAAGTGTAGTGCACCGCATTAGGAAACTTTAACAAATTTTTATTACTTGTTTAATGGTAACTAATTGTGAAATGCAGGAGGCGATTTTTTAAAATTATTTTGGAATAATCATTTGGATCTGTGTGCATCCTCAGTAGTTAGTGGTGTTTCAACTAAAACTTGAAACTAGCACTTATCGTTTTGAATGCCAAAGAGCTATCTCACGCGAGAACTCAACCTGATATACGACGAAATGAACACCCTGGGTTCTACTGTTATCCGCCACTAAACAAGTATTGCCATCTTTATCTTAATAAATTGTCCAAGTTTCCGTACTACGAACTGATATTTGAACAAAGACTGATCACTTCAGTCCATTGTAATCGACTGATCAGAACAAAGAAACGCAACGGTCTTTTGAAGCTAAAATACAAACACAATAACACTGCTTAGTCAGGAAACTGTAATAGTCTTTTGTTAATCAAACTACTTCAATACATTTGTTGAGTGTCTACAGTAAAATGAGTTGTCGGGCTTTCGTTCAGTTAGTTTACTTTCATTGTATTCTTCATTTAGCCAGTAGCTTATTGGTCTATGAGCTCGCTAGCTTTCTAACCAGAAGGCCGTGGATTCGAGTCCCAGTGGGTGCGTACCGCTGAAGAGTTCCAAACTAGGACGGAACAGCTGTCCAGTACTCCTAGTTCGAACTTGCTTTTAATAGCAACGTTTAATAACTATGATTATCAAAGGAATTAATGGAACATTTAGTGCAATTGTGACATTAGCTGAAATCACTAACATCTCGGAGTGCTGTTCGACTACGTATACTCCTCAGTGAACCATTTTTGCATGAAAATGAAACAGTGAAGTTTTTTGGATTGGTGGTGGAATGCCAGATGCACATTTCATCCTATTTAGGAGTCATCAGCTAGTAGGTATATCTGCATTCCCAGTGAGTGATGGTGTTCCAACTGACACCCGAACCCTGCACCTATCGTTTCAAATGAAACAGCATTATCCACTACGCGACAATGGCCACACAACCCACCTCTTGTACATTAGGAACCAGTGATTATCTGTTTTTAGGTTAATTAGCGTCTCCTGTTGATTGATTATGTTGGACCAAAATACTCAGTCTCCGTTGACATACCAATCCCTAGTAGGAACGCCTCGACGATATCCAGGGATCAGTATGAAGAGACTAAGGATTTCACACCAACATAATCAATCAACAGTAACTCAAATTAGCCTAAAAATAAATGACAAAGTGAGGTTTTTCAGTTTATTTCATGCTGAGATGCTTCATCTGAATTTTATTTCAAATGTTAGACTCTTCGAGATTTAACTGACTTTCCGTTTAATTTTACGTCACATTAACATCAGTTAGTACAAAAGTAAAGACAAAAGAATAATTGTTAGCCACTTGTACAGCTGTTCATTCTTGATATGCAACTATTAAACTGCTTGGAGTCACAGCCCTGTAAGTTATATTCATAAAGTCGTTAAATGCAACGCTTCTAGGAGAAATACGCTTAGAACTGTAAATCTCGTATTTCATCACGAGATAAAATCAGTTAGATAACCATTGGAAAACCAGGGAGTACTGGATATCTGTTTCGTCCTGGTTTGATACTACTCAGCAGTACGAACTTACCGGATTTCAAACCCAAGGTTGCAAGTATACCCGCCGATAATTAAGTCGTTACTAAGTCTAGTGACCACAGTGTTAATTCATTAACAAGTGATTCTTGGTAGCATGTGGGCGTCTGACTATAAAACATCAAAATACAGAACAGAAAAACAAATATTTCAGATTTTGCAGTAATTTTTATGGCTTCAGCTGATAAAAATGGTTAGGAAAACATTTCTTGCTTATGTGTGCAGGGAAACAACTCAGATTATACTCGAAATCACTGAGATTTAAGGAGTTTATTACTGTGCATCCAGATAAGACTCTATCAAGCGTCCATGATGATTAAAACGGGTTACCTAAAGACACGCGAAAGTTTCATCAGAAATCATTGTAGCTATCATTGACGACTTTTAAACATTTAAGTATATATCCCAAAACTTACACTTAAAACTAAGTTTTCAAATTTTTCTCTTTGTTCATCAGTTTGAAAACAATACGTATGATTACAATCTAAAATGATCACTTCATTTGGATGCGCCTTTATAAACTCATTGATACGCTTTAGTTCATTAGCGAGTGGCTGTGCATACTGACCGTGCACTATGTAGAATTCTTCTGTCAGTTTGAGTGACTTCGACTTTGTGTTTTTTATTATATTACAAATACGTAGGTCAAAATAACGAATACCAATTTTTAGTTGAGCAGTAATACTCAGTGACTGAGTTTTGCACCATGGATAGCTTATACGACTTAAAAAGCATGATGGTAAAAATTTCTTTAGAAAATACAATGGACTGTCTGGGGACACAGAACTCAAAGTGTTGACTGAGTAAGTACCAGAATTATGCGTGCCTGTAATTAAAAACAAAACAAAAAAACGTGAGTAGACTGAAGTAAATTGATCAGTGATTGTTAGACTATTAATAACTGTTTGAACGTAAACGAGATAGAAACTGAATGTCTATTAAGCATCTTCTAATCGATACATCGCAAAACTTCAGTCATCAGCAGATAAGAACTATACAAGCTTACAATGATCACAGTTAATTTAAAAGCAGTAGAAAGGTATACCGAGAGAAACTTAAAGAGACTCATCACATGTTAAGATGTTATGAATGAAATTAATGGAATATATTCAATAAACTGTTAAGTATATTAGTAAGACAGTAACTGCCAGGTTAAAATAAGATGAATCTAAGTTTGAGTAAACGTCAGCAAAATGTAATAATAGTTAACACAGAAAACATTGGGAAATTAAATGAAAAGAAATTAAAGTGGCTCAATCCAATGAAGTACACTCAACTAATAAATTCACTCATGACGAAGTAACATTGTCTTTTTGGATGTCTCACTCACAGGAAGACCAGACATAAGTATACAAAGAAATTTGCATGAGAAAAACACGTTGACAAGACAAAATGCATATCTTCTTAGCTCTGTTTGTTAAGGACTATCAGCTATAGGATCAGAGTTGTATGTTCAAAAGATGTACTAAAAATTGTGTATGACACCTTAACTGAAAGCTGCTAATGAGAAAAGTTCATCATGAAGCATGTGGCCGATAGAGTCGAGAAAACCTATTCTGTGTCTGCACACAGAAAGCGTCTAAATGTGCGACTGCAATTCAAAGGTGATATATCAAATGGAATAATAACCAACAAGTTACGAAAATCGATTGAAAGAACATTTAATGGCAGTAAGCTGCAGCTCATATTTTCCATACCACCGACTGTACCATCTGAAATTGAAAGACGAAGTACCTAAGCTAGCCACCTCTTCTTGAACCTATCAGTTTAACTACTGCTATGGAGCCAGTTATACTGGCCGTTTGTTGTTCTAAAAGCTTAGTTTTTCTTGCCCTGGAACACATATCAGTGTGGCTAAATAAGGGTTAGTTAAAACCATCCAAAGTTTGATATCAAATCATCTTATCCAAACAGGTAATGGAGCCCTGAAGAATATTTTTCTATCATCTATCGGCTACTCAATAAATCTCCAAAAGCCTCTAGGTTTTGAATACTCCAGACAACAGAAGCCGTTGCACAAGAAACAGATCCAACCATTATTGCTACCGTGGCCTGCTGTAGAACCAATGAAATCATAAATTCTGTGTCACTTACCAATATATCTAATATTCAGTTTAGTGTTATGTTGATACGTATTATCAATTACAGATACTTCTGAACTTTAGTCTATTTACATATCTGATTCGATAATATTTAAAACATTAAAATTGTTTAAAACAATAATTCTTGAGTGATTATGGATATATGACTGTGGAACCTGATGAGGTTATCGAAAAGAATATTCCTTGTTCACTAATCAGTCTTCGAAAATATCTTAAGTCTCACATAAAAGCATTCTCAGGTCAACCAGTCTGTATTTTTGAATAAACAGAACAAGCTTCTGCTTTTTGTCTACGACAGTGTCTTTCTAACTTGGGTAGAAGTAAAATTTCCCGTTTATTAATTAGTTTTAAAGCATTGATCAGGTTGCTGATACCATCTGAATCTCTATAACATGCTTTTGTCAGTATGCATGGTTTCAACAATCGCAGGTAATCGTTATATGTAGCTAAATGATTACTGGATAGCTAGTCGGTCAGAATTGAAATTGTACAAATACTCGTTGCCTAGATATGTTAATTAAATGACCAACTAATGAGATTCCACCACCACCATAGACGCTCACCACTCGGCCTATTACTGCAGTATGATTAACTGCATGATAATTTTTTGCATGACTACTGTCATTTCATATTTGTAATTACATTACCTCTCCCTCTCTGGTTTAAAAAGGAACGTTCTAACACTATTATGTGGGTCTTCTTGAAACTACCAATCCGGGTTAAGAAAAATTTACTGGTGAAATTATCAAATATTTATTAACGTTAGTCTTATTCGTGTGAAGATTCAGCGATCATAACAGATCCCTAAATGAGTTGAACATGAGATAGATATTTAACTGCTTTCATTGGCATTCTTCTATACTTAGGCATAAACGACCTTTGGAATTAATATCAGTGCGAAAATTTCATCATTAGACTTTAGACTCAATTTAGTTGACACTTTGTCTCCTTTAGCAATATAAATGAGTAAATAAATGATGAAGATCTCTAAAACACAGCATAATCGATAGAAAGACATACTACTACCTTAAAAACAGTCATTCCGTCTGCTACTGAAATTCATATAAGAAGTGAAAAATGCTTAGACATGACTAAATGAAAATAGTAATAATTGTTCTACTTCACAACTATGATTTATCTGAAATTGGAATGATAACTGTGCTAATAACACTATCAACTTTATTCTGAAAATCATGTCTATGCGCTATGCGGATCCTTAGTGTAATTTTCGCAGAATAATTACTCCATATACAGAATCTTCAAGTAAAATATTCATCGAAAGTATATTGTGTAACGTAGCGTTGTTCTGTATGAAATAAGACATAACATTCTAGGACATTTTCTCTTCTTAGATGGTTGGAGGCAAATGACAGGAAGCCCTGGATCTAGGTTTCATGCTTGTTGGCACCTGTCAGGAAGAAGTATATACAATCTTGAAGGAACTCACGTGATGGCGAGTCAGCCAGCATGGTGGCAACATGAAAAATCTGACTGATAGATTCGAACCTACACCAAACGAAGGACAAGACGTATGACACTAGTTAGTGTCCAGTCACTGTGCATTTTCTTCTTGAAATTCATAGTGGTAAGTTGAAAGTCACTTACGTCCATCAAAAGGCGCAATTGGAAGATTAAAACAAACAGAAACGGATGAAAGATTTATCATGCTACATTGAAATTTAGGTGACTCATTAGCGCCAGAAGGATAGCCAATAGAAAGAGGACCTGAAGGTCTTCTCAGTGACAGAAGCTACACTCCCAAGTGTACACAATCAAGGTTCTTGGTGAGTTCCAGCCCACAGTGGCGCAATAGTGAGAGCCCATCTGTAGTCATAGCATGCTTGAACATCCTGAAGCCGACAGCAGGTCACATGAAAGATGCAGATCGTTCGATTTTTAGTTAAGAAACTGCATTGTAGCGTAATCGAATAATTGAAAAATAAACGTATGGAAACAAATTGATTAGATTAAAAGTTAACTTCAGGATTTCATCATGAGATGACATCGGTTAGAAGACTATTGGAAAACCTGGAGGTACTTGATGGCTGTTTCGTCCTAGTTTAGGACTCTTTACGGTAGGCACGCACAAAAGCTTGAACCCAGGACCTCCTGGTTACAAGACCATCGGATTGGGTCCCAGTGACCTAGTGAACTTTGAGCTCGCCTTGTAACCAAAAGTTCCTAGGTGGGTGGGTGCGTACCGTGAAGAATCCCAAGGTAGGGAGAAATAGATGTCCAGTACTTGCAGGTTTGCAATCGTCCTCTAACCGATTTAAGTTCATGATGAAATCCTGAAACCAATCAAATCCGTGCAAACCAACACTTGAATAAAAATTAATTCATCGTAATAATCTGACATCAGTTTAAAGTGTGGAAGATCGATTTGCATTATTCCCAATACTTTACGAGGAAACGTTCATATGTCAAATTAATCACCTTTTTTCAAAAATATAGGCTAATTTAGAATAAATTCGAACTTTGAGATGAGAAATCACCACATTTTCTTTTCAAAAACAATACGTCATCAACTTGATAATATTTAATTTCAACTAAGAAAGCATGGCATTTGGCCTAGTCGCATATTAACTGATTAGTACTGAAGAGCTGGGAATCACTGGCGTCAAACAGTAGTACTTGTTAGCTGCATCGAAATTACGTAGAATGAATCTGTACTGAACGTTAAAGTAATCGAAATTTTGACAAAAAGTCATCTGTTGACAGTCGTTATAAGAGAAGTCAGTAGCAAAATCGTTTGTTCATATCTCTTCCCCCTATATGTATAAGAGGCTATAAAAGGCCTGTTATCACAATAATAAAAAAATATTATACAGTTAGGTCCAGGGTGCGTTGTTACTTCAGTGACAGGATGTTTGCCAACCACACACCTGATCTAGGGTCCGACTCATAGCCGGTGCTGTCCTAAACCTTGGCTAGCCCACAGTTAGCCTCGAAAAAAGGGAGAAGGTTGAGCATGCGGCTAGAAATCTCACCCACCTCCCTGAAAACACTAACAAAATTGCTACTGAGGCTTCAAAGCTTCAATCTTGAAGCTTTTTGTTACACTCAGAAGGCTAAGCAATGAGAAAAATAAGTTTAATTAAACCAGAAAAGTGTTCTTGTATACATCTTGAGTGAATAGTTCCACCAACCTGGAATAGCCAGTGTGTTAAGTTTTTGACATGTTATTTGTGCTGGAAGTTCAGACATCCATTCGGTAACGTTTAAATTATTATTTCTCACCTAAGATGAAATGAGTAAATTATATCACACTTTCAATATTAAACAAATTGATAAAGATGTAACAAAAATAATCCTGTGATTACTTAAGATAGTCATCTGTTGATAAGTAGTTAGTTATTGGTGCAAAAGGTAATAAGTGTTTGAAGGTGAAATGAAGATTTTAGTTACAGCAGGATCCACCTCCATTCATTATTGTTTGCAAAGACAACATATTGGGAATTCAAAGATATCTCATATAATCGTTTCACCAACGGTTAACAACTTGCTCTCCAAATTTTTAATTCAGGGTGATTCGGAGTAACAGACGAAGGTCAATATGGGCAGCTAGTGTGATGAGAAATGGACAGTTACATGTCACTTATTCACATAACAGCTGGACACTTCACATGGTGCTGGTTACAGGGAAATGATGATGTGGTTAGCAACTGGATCCCCCGACTCCGCATGTAGACCACTGGAGTAGTATTTTGCAGGCAACTGGCTCGAATTCTTCTGCTGCTCAGATTTTAATTTCACCTTCACTTGTCATCCTCTAATAAAAATATGTTAATGGTAAAGCCATTTGTGATAACCTTTGTTTTCCAGACTTTTATTGGTGTTATGGGTGATGATTTAAGGTGAAATGAAAACTCAGGTTACAGTAGGATTTTAGTTAGCAGTGCTCTACTAGCTGAGCCATAAGCCTCAGCTACTAACCAGACCATCATTTAACTCCAGTTTAGGGATCAAATCTGAATTCATTCTTTTTTCTAAATATTGTCCTAACTGGAGGATTCAGAATTTTAAGTGGTTTTTACATTCCTTCTCATTTCACATTCTTCACAGTCTGAGATTGTGTGAAAGTGATTCCGATAAAAAAATGAATATTATAAATAAATTAAAACAACATTTCATGCCTGGCGCGAAACGTTGTTTATTTGGCTACTGAAGGAATGGGTTTCAAATGAAACATGCCATCATTGTACTAATGCCCGACTTGCCGTTTCTCAGTCGGTTTCCACTCGATGGCCCCGAACGCAGTGTCACACAGTGGTCTACTTAGCGTGTATCCAGTACATCTCTATTTCCTTCAGCACATTCACTGGGCAATGGTTTCTTGATTGGTCTTATGCCAGAATTGCTTGTTAGCTATCCTTTCTGGATTTCTGATCTTCAATGTCGAGAGAAGACTGCAGTGGTATTTGAATAAATAGAGAAAGAGATTTTTGTTAATTTCTCAAAAAGTGGAATCTCAATACTACCTAATGGAAATCCACTGTTCACTAGTTTTATTCGTATAAAGATTATTATATCCATAGGCTGGTGTTCTTTTCGAAACTTTCAAGAATGTGGAGTCAAAATGACCCTTAGGTTTCTGTGCTGATTTCGATATGAGATTAATGATAAGGAATGTTTGCCTAAGATGAACTTGAATGAAACAATGGCGATCCCCTGATCATTTAATCTCAGGTTATATTTACATACATTGAAAGGTAGTGTGACGCCTAACCGACAATCCTGATACACTAACTGATCAGTAGAGAGTAAGTGATACTAACTGAATTCTATTGTAACAAAATTAAAACCGTTATAAATAAAGTATTTAACAATGTTCTCTTTTTTCCTTTCAGGGAAACACCTAGTAGTCCATAATGTAAAGCAAGAAGCCCAACTTCTATCAAGACTTGATATCAATGATGACAAAAAGACTGTTTGTTTTTGAAAGCTTAATCCACGTAGTCTGATTTCTTGAACTGTACAAAATACATGGGGCTTGTGTTCTGCTTTCCTTCTTTGTGTGACTGTTGCTCGTTTTGCCATACTATTAGTTACATTTGCAATGTGATCACTAAGCTCGGTCAGTCGCTATCACTTTGGTTGCCTACAGGTGACCGTTCTATATATCCATTACAGCCATACAGGAAGTCATTCGTGGACTAGACAAAATGAATGGAAAGGTCTCCAGCTGTAGCAATGGGCGATACAGCTTAGGACCTCCAGGGGATTATCAGCACTCTCGGGATCGCAGATACGCCTTTCTGAGGATGGCCAATAGGGAGAAAATATGGGTACATGGCTTTCTGCAAATCGTCTTCACTCACATAACATGGTCAACTTGGTGTTCTGATGCCAAAATTTGATAAAGCCTAGATATTTTTCAACCTGAAGGAATTGAACAGGTTTTCTCCACTGAATCGTGCTTCTTTTTTCCTTTTTATAAAAACTAGTAAAGAATTTCTTATCATAAAAGTTAGTAACAGATATTGAAGCAGACTACATCATTATTTTTAATTAGATTTTCTGCAAGCTTTACTTCGAAATACGCAACAAATTAGATACATTGGTCCGCTACTCATTAGAAATAGAGATGTAATTTCTGTAGAATATAACAGTAGTTATATTCATAATGATAAATGAGGATACAAATCTTTCATACATCTGATCTAACGCGAAATTCATATTACTACTTCTGTTGTCATAACACGCTAAGGACTAATGCAACTAGTAGGGATTCTTTGTCAGTTCCCAAGGTGAGGCAAAATAGCTGTTCTCTATAACTTGGTTTTTCGACCAATGACATTTAGTGAGGAGAAATGCATTATAAATAAACAAGGATGGATTTCATGATGGAATAATTGTTCAGATGTATATTACACATTCGGTGATCTTATCTAAGGCTACTCTGCATGATGATACGAGTAACTATGTACAATTTCAGTGGTCAATACATGTATGGTTGCCTCATAATTTTATCTACATAAGTTATAACACACCACGATTCCTTTAAAATGTTAAGTTCATAAGAATTAGACTGACTACAAGGTAAATTTTATCACAGTTTGACATTATTTAGAGAAAGTTCAGGTTGAATGATCAAAAACGTTGACTAGTGGACTGAATCATGTATGCATACTTTTGAAGACTCCCAAAATAAGTTTAAGCGATCTTTCAGCACTCCCTGGTTTTCAGTGGCTGCCTAAATGAAGTCATTTCGTGAACAAAACTTGAAGGCCATGAAGTTGGAGATGGTCGTTTAGTATTGCTTTAAGAGCATTTAGAGGCAGTTACCTAAATCTTCATAAGGACTTGAACCCGTAGCTGTCAAGATCCAAAGTAGGCGATTTGCTATTCATTCAGCTGACTGAAGTCCCATAGAATATGAACTCTATTTTCTAGTAATCTTCTTTATGACACTGTTTTTACCCGCTTCCATTAAAGTTTAAATTCTTTCCCAACCGACTTGCTCAATCTCACTGTCTCATAGAAACTGTAGGAAATCAACACAATATTCAACTTTAGATACCCAAGGGGAGCAAACACATCAGTGACCTTGTAACAGCAGTTGCGCCTAAAAGTAAATCTGGTCCTCTAATCATAGTCTTTCTTTGACCTAACCTTAACTATGACCTATCACTGACCAATTCTTGTATCGCCTTAATTAGTTGAATATAATTCTGGGCTGTCCTTAGCTTCAACCTAATCTTATTCTTTCCATGACTTAACCTTAAACTACCCAGATATCCTACTGAATATGAGTACACTTTACTCAACAGTTATTTCATGAATATAGTGTTATCTACCTGGTTTAATTTTCTTGCTTTGACTGGGCGTTCCTAGATCGACAGTACCTTCATACCTTCTGGGTGTCTATTTAAGAAGCTAATTTGTAAATGTACATTGGTGGTTCAGGGGCAGAGTATTAGACAGCTACGCATGTGGTTTTGGTTTGATTTTCCACCAGCGTGTGTCTACACCTCACCTGATCTATCAGGTGAAAGCTTGGAGAAGAGGCCAGCAATCCCAACCACTACGAACTCGGAAGCTTGAAGCTCTCTGTTCCAACCAAAAGGTAAACGAATGGAAAAAATTCATGAATACACAGTTAGGTTTACGTTATCATAAACATGTCAAGAGTACACAGTTAAACTTACATAACTCCGACTGTTCTTTTCTGCCATTATCTACAGCTAACACCAATAGAGATTTAGATATTTTTCTACAAAAATAATGATTCTATATAAATAGCCGAGGTGAAACAGAATTTTTCAGTTGTATAAGTGTAAAGGTCGATTGCATATCGAATTCACAAGTGCTTTAAATACGTTTATGTGTAATATTATCACCGTTAATGATAAACATTTCAGTGGTTTGCACTTAAAACTTACGCACACGTTATGTGATAGTTGAATTACAATATCATCGATAGTGTAATAAACATGTACGTTACTACTACTACGATGGTAACGTGATGCAGACAATGTGTCCCACCGGAATATTATTCTCGCAGTAAGAATAATTGTATTTGTTGGTGTTAACGTCTGAATACTATTCCCACAGTTCAATGCTGCATTAGAAACAGGATATATATATATATATATATATATTATTGTACTTATTCTTGTTTTTGTTACCCGCATAGTGCCAATCACAACTGATTTCATATTGTTGCGCAATCCTACTTTTTCTTTCTAAGCTTACAATGGTTACGTGTTGACTAATCATTTCGACTAGTGACATTTATGATTATTCTTAGAATGAAAAATCTATTAAAGATATTGGCATTTTAGGGCTTCGTTTCTCATAGTGTTCAGTCAAAGAAACGTACCGGTCTACTGGATATAAGATATTTACAAAAAAAAATTCATTCAGATCAAAACTGCATATCATCGTTAAGGAATTTAGTGAAAAACAATGTTTATTTACTGAATTGTGAGTTCTCCATCATACTTGTTAACATACACCTTACGCGGAAATATTGACAAAGGAGTATGAATGAAATTTCTTCAAAAAGTCGAAACTATGGCAATCTACATATTAAATCCGGTAGTCTGCATACAGAGGTTCTTCCAGGCGATGAGCCTACAATGTACCTTATTTGTCTGAAAATTTGATAAGTAGTTTCTTTGTTAATCTCAGTTCTTTCAGTTCTGTAATTTTCTATCCTTTCTCAGCACCCTGTTTCTGCTCCTCTTGCGATGCTTATCTTAACTTGGCCCTTTTCCAACTTTAATTGACCTGTACTCGCTCCTGTCAGTTATGTTAAGTCACACAACTTACTCATTCATTTTTATTTCAGTTTCTAGCCAATAAATACTTTTCTACTACGTAATTGTTGTCGAGAAACTGCGATTTTAATGATACATACTTGCAAACATTAATTTATCTGCAATGACAGTATTATATATATATCCGACTTTAAAACTTGAGAAATTACAGAGTAGCAAGACTTAAGCCAGTCATTTAGAAAAATGAAATACCACAGAGTAATTTTCAGTCTATAAGAGAAGCCTCATTCTTTATTTGCAGCAGTAGTAAAACGCACCTCAAAGACAAGAAGCATTTATTTCTAGAACTTGTCTCCGTTATCAACTATAAACTCAGGGTGTCTTATTGTGACAAAGAATTTGAAGACGGTATGTAATTTTTAATTAGTCTAAAGTGAGACTTTGGACGTGGCTACTCAGTAGATAATATCTTCTGCAAATAATCAGTGTCTTTTCATGCATTTCTTAAACCTGTGAGTCTACTTTAAGAACTCGGAGAAGACCGTCGGTGCGACTTTTACGAATTACCTAGATGTCTGCAACTTATTCGGAGCCCTCATTAACTCTGAAATTGCATGATGATATCGTCATCTGCCTTAAGTCTTCATATTTTTCCAATATACAACAAACCACATTTATGAAAAGTTAGAGGCAAACCAAATCCGTGTCGATATTGCCATAAAACTGAAATTGCATGCTTAACTTATGCTACTATTAAGTAGTATAAAAACTATTTCGAAGAAAGATGGAGATCCTTGATACGAATCCATAGGAGAGTATTGATTACACTAACAGTTCAGTGGGGAATAAGCCCCAGCCAGACATGTTGTCCGTTTTAAATTCCCAGATGATAAACACATGAACCTCTCCTATTCTGCTAACCAGATCAAGTTCATAAAATGGGGAAGGCTGGGCATGCATCTGGCAAGTCCATCCTGTAAAAACAGCATCGCCTTTACTGGGACTTTAAAGTCAGCAGCCCTACGTTCACCTCAGAAGGCAAGGCAATGAAAAAAAACAGTGGAAAAAATTAAAAATAATTTTCAACTGAAATGAAAGAGAAAGTATATTTCTTTAAGTGCTAAATAAAACCAACATTAAAAATAGTTTGTAAAGTTCTCTCCATCAGTCTAAGCTTCCTTAATAATGAATTCTCCAACTTTGATAAATTTGTCCACACGTCTATCAAATTCATATTCAGTAAGCATGATTAGCCACAAATAAAGATTGTCCGGATGCTAAGGTTTGAAGATTACCATCGAATTTTCCCAGTGATGCCGCTCCATTAGCCTGGAAAATTAATAGAATAACTCGCATTCTAGTGTTTATCAACTACAAAGTTAAATAACAAGCAAATTTCACACATCTGAAAAGAAAACAGTAGGTGTGAACACGGGCAGTAATTTTGCTCGAAATATTACCAATAACAAAACTTATGATTGTGTGTAAACTATTGAAATATAATTATACTTTATTTGAGTAGGCTAAGATTTCATGAATTTCTTCATCTCAGAAATACTGTTACTTTTCTTCTGAATTCTAGAACACCAAAATGATCCTATTCGGTAAATTTAACATAGGCTTCAGGTTTGCTAACTCAACAAGTATAAGAAATGTACATTCAGGAGACTGGTTTATGAACAGATTAAATAATACGGAATTACATCTAAGAATTGAACTGAATCTGCAGCATAGAGTTTTGCAATTAAGTGAATCACTTTAAGCTCCTACACTTCGTGGATCACACATAAATGTAAAGGAGAAAATAAATGCAAATAAGATAATAATAAAAACAGAAGTAAGTGGGATATTGAATCCTTTCGTAGAGAATAATAAAGAATTTAAGGGCCTGAGAGATAACAATGAGTGAATGATTCTGTACAATGGAGGTATGCCACCAACAATTTCGAGCCATGAATAATTGAGTCTCAAGAATCCAGCCTCAAAGTCTACCTTTCCCTTCAGCACACTGTAACACTTAGCATAGGTGATTTTATGTAAAGATTTATGGTTAGCCCCTTCGTATATTCCACACCAATGGCCTTGTTTTAAATCCATAAACATGAAATAACCTGCTTCTGATTGCATGCTTCCCTTAATGCATGGCTGGATATCACGTCTATATAAGATAAAAAGTAGGTTAGTAAAAGACACACAAACCTTTAGTATCTAAGATATAATAATTACTTCAACAATGAGGGCATAAAAGAGAATTATAACATTTGTAAAACAAATTGTAAAGTTTCAAAGGTATCGACTGACTTTCTATACTTAGCTAGAAATAACCTTGTGAATTTATCGACTCAACATACAGCCATGTACTAAGATGAAAACTTCTGATCTCTTAATGCACTTTGATTATAATTCTTCATTCTTTGTCAATGATTTTCACTGGTCTAGTCTAAAATTTATTTTATACTAGTTATATTAGTTCAGAAACTCAAAAATCGCAAACATATATTTTGAGAGAATTTCTTCAATCATGCTGTCGCCCCTTACACTAGAAATTCACCAACAGTGCACTTTATTTAAACATAAATTTGAACATTTTAAGTGGGTGGATAACATATTTCATACGAAGTGTGTTTGTGTGCTAGTATTAAGCAATACAAGGGTAGTATATAAAAGTACTTAAAAGTAGTATATAGTGTATTGCTTGGAGAAAAGGAATATTTTCATGTGTTGTTTTTCAGAAAATCGATTGATTTTAAGTTTGATAACAATCAGACTTCAGCTAGTAAATCACTGACTGAACAGCAGTTTCGTCTTATTTTGAAACACTTCTGAAGTGCGTACCCGTGAATCAACCAGGTATCAAAGTCAGGATCATCAGTTTATGTGATGAGTCCGTTGACCATTCAATGTAAGGTATTTGGACGCAGTAAACATAAGGTTTTCTCTTACTACTCCTTTTCTTCTCAAATGGTATCACTGCTTCTTTCAGAAGTGGTGTCTTAATCGTAAATCCTTAAGGATAAAGTCGTTTCAATTTACATGAGAAATCATTGAAATCTAGTGAATACTTCATGGATTTGAGAACAAATGGAAACGACGGCGATGAGAATTACTGTAGGTATAAATCAAAAAAATTCTGTGTTCACTTCTCTAAGCGAATGAAAGTTCTTTGCAGACTTCACATTTTTTGAAAGCATCTCAGTTCTGAATTCACCGTGTATTGATTCAATGGCTTAAACACTCAACTTTCAAAAACTGGGTCTTTTATTTGAATCACATTCCAACTACTTCAACCAGGACAGATAAAAAATGTAGTATTACTCCTTACACACTCAGTTATTTAGTAGCTCATACTCTGACATATGAAGCACCTGTTTTTGGTAATTAAGACCAAACAAAAAAGTAACAATTTGATAATATAGATTCAAAAACTGTTCAGGAATTTAGATTATGAATTTTGTGGGCATTTTGAATCATTTCAACGATCAACACACTGACCTTGCAACTGGAAGTTCCTGGATTCTATTCCTGATTGGGTCGTGATTTCACAATGCTGAAGAATGATGAAGTTTACTAGTTCAACTTAGTTTTCAGAGATGCTTTAACTAATGTTGGTTCGTGACGAAATCTTCACTGATGTTCAGTAGTTATTATTTAGATATTTAAGCAAACTTGAATATTAAGGGAATACAAAGTGATAAAATATAACAGTTGCAGAGTAGAATACCACAGGCAAGTCTGCAAGAAAGTCTTAAGAAGAAACGGAAGTTACTTTAACAGTTACACTACCACGAACACACACTAGAATTCACACAATAAAACAGACAACCGGATTTAGATTCACTTTCAAAAAGTGTACAGTTTTATAGTGGCAGTTTTGACAGAAACATTCATACACAAGAGCAGACAAAGAGATCAAAGTAAATACTTCTAAAAGTATACACCACAGGAGTGGTGTA